AGATCAAGATCTTCAGATGATGTGGTGCTGCAGGTTTTTCCGGGTTTTCCTGCAGCTGAAAAAGCAAATGCGCCACTGGAATCAATGAAGTCGCCCCGGAGCGCCAATTAATTTTTATTGTTGTATTTATTTTATTTTTATCGTTGTTTTAACACATTGTAATAATTTTACAAAACATAAATACAAATCGTTAGATTATGCCAGGGAATTTGAATACTTTTATCACAATGAAATTAAGGCATCACAAAGGAAACTAAAATGCAACAATAACCAAAGATCCAAGGCCGTCGATAATTACATGAATTGTGTTCAACTGGAGGTAACTATTTCATTACTTAAAAGTATTACATCCTTATACCATTCAAGCATTGAAATTGTGTCAGTCGTAATATTTCGAACATTTGTGTTTGCTAATAATGTTCAAAATACTATTATCACATTCAATAACATTGAATGTTACACCAGTTATATTAAGACAGGGATATAATCTTGATCAGTGTTATATGAAATGATGATATTGTGGGTTTTCTATTCAATTATTTACGTACGAATTATTTTCGTATTTGCTAAATAGTTAGCTATAGTTAGGAATCCTCTTGGGATTAGGCCACCGTTGGGATATTATTCGGTTAGAGAATAACATCAGTAATAAATGAGCCTCTGCTTATTCATTTTTTTAGATGTGGGACTCACGATATATACAATCTCGTCGTAGGAAGCTTAATATTCCTCTTGAAGATGATCACTTGGTGATTGAAACACGTGTCGAGGTGTTAAAATAACGGTTTAGTGTTGGGAGAAAACTCCAGTAATATTCATTACTTCACTAAAGGTTCCAAACAGTGCATCATAACTATTGCATTGTTGATTATACACTTCACAAACTTCAATAAAAGTAATATTTACATAATGATACTTACATTCATAAAGTTATCGAACACGTCGAAAAAAATTTTAAGTGGTTATCTGGTTACTTTCAGAAATATTTTATGTTTTTTCTTTCATGGTGAACAGTTTAAATTCTATTTTGTAAAACAAACAACTCTCATGATTTCATTTCATACGGCCTATTCATATGATTAGATCAATAAACCAGACACTGTTTTTCATAGCAGTCTTTGAATGGTGAAGAGAGTTAGTTAGAAAAGGGTTTTGCGAGTTTTCAAACTGGTAAATCTCAACTTAGTCGAGAGAATTGAGATTATAGTCTAGTTCACATGTACTTTTTTTTGTAACATTTTTCAGCCCTGTCTAAAAATCACGACCAAGGTGTCATTCGATTCGTATTTTTGCCTAGAAAGTTTAAGGAATGGTCCGAAAACGCGCCGATAAAAATTACAAAAGTTATAAACAATTAAGTGAAAAAGTATGGGGCTTTAGTTTTTTCTTAATATCTCGGAAAATTTTCAAAATTTTGGAAATTTGAAAAAAGATATGAAAAGATCAATGAATTTGCGTAAAAAAGTCCCGACTCCCTAAACTGTATCTCGATTATTTATAATTTTTACAGAGCCCTGAAAATAGAGCCAAAAGCGGGTAGTATGGCTTCCGCGCGCCTTTCGTCATTCTGACAAACATATTAAATGTAAATATTAAGGAATGAAAAAATTCATGTAATGTTGGGATACATCAATAAACAATAATCCGCAGTCAAAAAATGTTTAAATAATTTTTTTGGTTTTTATGTCAGAGTGACGAAAGGCGCGCGGAAGCCAGACTACCCGCTTTTGGCTCTATTTTCAGGGCTCTGTAAAAATTATAAATAATCGAGATACAGTTTCGGGAGTCGGAACTTTTTTTACGCAAATTCATTGATGTTTTCAAATTTCTAAAATTTCGAAAATTTTCCGAGATATTAAGAAAAAACTAAAGCCCCCTTTTTTTTTCACTTAATTGTTTATAACTTTTGTCATTTTTATCGGAGCGTTTTCGGACCTTTCCTTAAACTTTCTGGGCAAAAATACGAATCGAATGACACCTTGATCGTGATTTTTGGACAGGGCTGAAAAATGTCACTAAAAAGAGCTAAATCGAGTGCATGTGAACCAGACTATTAACCGTCTCCAGGACTATACGTTATTCAATAGAACCAGGAGAGTAAATGAAACACATGTACCAAGACAAAGAGGGAATATAGAGATAGACGGACAAATTTTAGAGTATACTCAAGAAAACCCGAAGATGAGGAACGAAGGTTGGAATTCTGTTTATTCTGCCAAGATAGATATTTGAATAATAATAACTTTTTGGGTAATACTCTCTTCACCGATGAGGTTACCACTAACGGTACAGTGTCCACTCAGAATTCCACGTACTGGGCAAGGGAGAATCCACACTAGATAATAAATGTTCAAAGAAAAAATCAATTCCAGGTAGAAATATTCAGAAACCGTATTATAGGTCCAGTGTTTTTTGAAAACACACTAAACGGTGGAGGATTTTATAATTTTTTGACAACGAAATTATTGGATTTCATGGAAGAACCAAGCATTGAAGAACGCAGAAATGTTATATTTCAGCTAGATGGTGCCTTCATTCACAATGTGATTGCTGTGCGGCAATACCTTGATGGAAAATTTCGAAGAAGGTAGATTGGAAGGAACAGCCCTTTCATTTGTTGGCCTGCTCGATCACCAGACCTGACTCCATATTCAAAAACCGTATAATGGGTCCAGTGTTTTTTGAAAACACTTTAAACGGTAGAGAATTTTATAATTTTTTGGCAACGAAATTATTGGATTTTATGGAAGAACTAAGCATTGAAAAACGCAGAAATGTTATGTTTCAGCTAGACGGTGCCTTCATTCACAATGTGATTGCTGTGCGGCAATATCTTGGTGAAAAATTTCAAGGAAGATGAATTGGAAGGAACAGCCCTTTTATTTGTTGGCCCTCTCGATCACCAGACCTGACTCCATTAGATTCTTTCTGTAGGGATATTTGAAAGAAAGTATTTTTAGAAATATATCACGTAATTTGAACGAATTGAAGGAGAGGATAAGGCAAAAGTGTGGTGAAATAACATCAGGCCAATTGATGAAGACCTCCCAGAATTCGAGACGACGTAACTATAAAGAGCTTGAAGGAGGATATATTGAAAACTCCAATATCTGAAAAAAACGTTTCCATAGTAAGCCTTGAAAATGAGAATAATTCACATTTGTCAACATATTTGGATAGAGCTCGTCGAGTAGCATAATTTGGAATTTCAAAATCAGTTCATGGGTTCCAAAATAACAGGGTGTTGCGGTTTGAAATGGCACACACTGTATATAGACTGATTCGATTGAATTATTCAACTGATTCAAAACATACTGTTTTTTTGACACATCACGAAATTGAAGTTCAAAATTTAATTATTTGTAGAAATACTCACGTTGTTGGATGCTCAGTGTCTCTGTAATTGTAGGGCTCATAGTCTCCAACTTCTGCAGATTTCTTTAAATCGTTAAGTGCAATGCTATATGTGTTGCTTTTGTCTTTATGGGTTAAAATTTCCCTTGAATTTATGGCGGCTGAAAAGCTGAAATAAAAAAACATACAGTTACTAATTGAACAAAATGGAGATAGTAGCTGAATCGATATAAAATATTTCAAATATAAAACAGAAAATAGGTTTTTTCCTATCTCTCACAGGTTTATTCCATTTAAAAACGATTATGTAGTAAAACCAATAATGATTGAGAGTAAAGCGCGTTGTCATATCTAAATTTTACGTTACCAGTTTATAGCAGAATCAAAATATAGTAAGCAGTAGAGTTGTAGGTTGTGGCAAATTATAGATAATACACAATACTAGTACGATTAAAAGGTATTATTTATGACAAAAATCAGTAATGAGCTTGTAATGAGTAATACTTATACATTTCCTGATTACTGATCAGTTAAAATTCATTATTTTCTGTATAGTGTTAGATATTTATTACAACTAGTGGCAACGCTGTACGCAACGATATTTC